ATTCCTGTCTCAGATGCTATGAAGTTGCTGTTTCTTGGTGTTTCATTCCGTTGAGTAATAATAGAGAAATGTTTGATCATATATCTGCAAAGTATGGTTATTGAGTTCCAAGCACAGAACAGAAAGCCAAGTATTGAAGGAAAAAGGGAAGAAAACAGAAAAGAAGATGAAAACAATGAGAAAGAGAAATGTAGATTTAAATTTAAATTCTGACTATTTTGGAAGAGGAAAAAACACTGTCTGCTTTAGATTTTGTTCATTCCTGCTTCGATGGAGAAATCTTGTTTGGGTTATTCCTTTGTGTGAGAACTGGCAAAGTCTAGAATTGATGCAGTCTTTAGCCTTTTTGAGGCATTTAATGGCAGTCTGCCCTTAACTGGTTTGGCTTCAGGCACTGTGTTTGGGATACTCCCCCATCTCCCTTAAAAAACAAACAAACACAAAACAACAACAACAACACACACACACACACACACACACACACACACACACACAAAAAAAAAAAAAAAAAAAGCTGGGCTATTTTTCCCCCCTAAAATGTTCTGGAATATTTCAAGTTGTATTTTGTTCATCACAAATTTAGGTGTTTCGCCTTCCCATTCCTCTGTGGGACCCTCTGTCTTTCTGTCTTGGCCTCCTCTACCACACTGTCTCTGAGTGGCTAACAAAAGCAACATTTTAAAGAACCTCAACTGCCACCCACAAGCTCCAGTCTCAGAGAAGGCTCAGTGACAGTTTAAAGTGGAATAGCTCCAGGGAACAGAGTGACGGGTGGAATTGTGAACACCTAGATTGAGTTAGGACACCTGGTTTCTAGGTCCCCGCCCCTTTTAAGGCCTTGACTAACTAGCCCGCTCTCTGAGTATTGGTTTCCTCATGTTCACGAGGAGGAGTCACATGGGGGGACACTCAGTTTTGATGATCTTGACTGTGTTCTAAGCCTTATTTGTTATTTTTCAAATAAATTTGAGGCTATCTTTCCACCAGGAAAATACTGAGTTTGATCTATACATGACCATGTTTTATTTTATATTTTCTTAACTTTCATATTTTGTTTGTTTTACATAAGTAATAAATGCACATAGAGAAACTTCAAACAGTACAGAAGAGGAAAAGGAAGATCTCCTACCCCCAACTCCCAGCTTCCTCTCCAGTCACCACTATTGCTAGTTTTCCTGTGTCCTTCAAGAGATCTGCTGTATGTGTACACAAATTCCCCTTTTCTAACTACAGATAGGTTGAACTCATGCAAATAGTTCTGCCCCTTGAATTTTCCCTTTCCGAACAATGTTTCTTAGAGATTGTTCCATGAAAGTGCCTGCAGTAGTGCACACACAACTCCTCTCATCGAGGCTCCCAGTCTCCCATTGTGGACAGGTTTTAGCCTTTTGCTGTCATAGACTGCACTGTAGTGAATATTCTCATACAGACTTGCTGGATTTTGTATGTGCCACACTTTGAAAACCAAGTCATTATCTAAGTTACACTCTTTTTCAGTTTCTACAGTTAATAACTGAAGATGTCTAGTCTGAATGATCAAATCTGAATTAAGTGAAAGAAGGCAGCATACCCACCTTTCCTCTCTAGGATGGCTCTGTGTGGCTGGTGCTTTAGAACCAGCAAGGGTGTGGCTTTGGAAGAGCTGTCTCCAAGTCTTCCACCCCCAGATAAGGATGAAGACATCGATGAAGTGTGCCTAGCAGTGTCTGCGTGCTGTGTGGAGATGAGAGTCCACTGAGTAACTGGGGCAGGATTAGCAGGAGTCTTCTCAGGCCCCCGAAGATAGTTCTGCTCCCATTTATTTGAAATATCAATAACTTACCAGACCTGAGTCATTTTTAAAAAACATTCAAAATATCTGAGTTATAAAAATTAACAGTTAACCTCTGAACTACCAACAAAAACTTTTACAAGCCTCTTTTTCCTAACCTGATGTTTCTGATATTAGAAATATTCACTTTACACATTTCTCTTATAGACACAATTGGGCATTCGTTTTGTTAGTTATCTCAGAAAAATAGGAGCACCTTCTTTCAAGAGGTTCAGAAACGACTATCCCTGGAACTGATCACCACCCCTTGCCTTGAAAGAGGTCTAATGAACTGAACCCTCCCGGTAGCTGGACATTGTCTTACTTGGAAAAGTATTGAAGAACATGTTTTCTCTTGTGCCTAGTCCCTGGACTCCTCCTCAGTCCTTTAAACGGAGACTGTAATTATGCTCTAGCAAGCGATGCAAATGAAGCACTCAGTTATTTTGCCACCAGCCACGCCTTTTTTTCTCTTCTCAAGCTAAGAACATAAGAAATGCCCAGGTGCTTTCGCTCCCTTATCACATCATTTTCCGAGCCTCCTATGTGGTGGGATGGTGCCTGAGGGTGAGAGTTTTTTTTGTGGTGGGCTTGATTCTGGGAGAGAAAGCTGAACTCCGGACAGACTATTCCTGTCCCTGAAGTAGTTCATGATTGAGCAGAGAATTATCAATCTAGCTAAACCCTCCTTGAAACCTTCTGTTTGTAACCTGGACAATTTTTGATGACTTGCTGTCCAAGGCAACAGATGTTTAGAGGGTTGCTTGCAGTTTGAGCATTTGTTCCTGTTCTTCAGTCTAAGGTGAGGCAGAGGGCAGCCAAGGACAGTTGAAAGAACAGGTGGACTAGGTCTCAGGAGGCAACTTTGAAAATAGTTCTTGTGCCAACCAGAGCACATCCTTTCACCTCTCTGGGTTTCCTCTTCTCTGCCATAAAATGAAGGGATGAGTTAGATGATCTCCGAGGTTCCTTACAAAGCCTATTATTCTAGTGTTCCACAGCCACACATAAAACCCACCTCATTTCTTTCCACATTTTTTCCAACAGCCTATTAGTTCTTGTGAGGGCAGAAGCTATCTATTCCAACTACAAACCCATTGCCTGATACACAGTGGGGGAAGGGGTGGGGAACACAATCAAGATTTGAGTGTATCAATACATTTTTTTTTTTTTTAAAGAATGGTTTAATGCCCTCTCCCCCCAGCTGAAGGAGGTTCCTGTCATGAAATTAATTGTTCCTTAAAGAAACAAATTCTCTCTCTGTGTGAAGTTGTTGTCTTTGGCCCTGACCTAGGAACAAATAGACTGAAAAGCATGGTTTTCATTATTATACTATATCACCCAGGCAGAAGTTAAGCAAATTTGACTGGTAAGGTGTTTCGAAAAAAACTAGCACCTTTCAAAATGCATTTTTTGTGAGAATGATATAATTTATTAAAGGATTTTCCAGTTGTATTCTAAAGTGAAGTATGATATTCTAAAATTAAAAATGTTAGTAAATGCAGATAAACGGAAAATCCTTAAAAAACTTAAAACACTTCTAATGCCTTTATTCAATCACAAGCGTGATTAAAATTTTTATGTAAATTTTTATCACTAATTTTTCTCTTTGCAAAAACTGAAATACTTTTTCTCAATCAGTTACTTGTTCCTGAGCTTAGCTCACACTTCTTTGGGGCACCCTTTTTTGACAAAGCACTCATGGGGTCCTGCCTGTGTACAGGTCTCTGACCCAGGCATTTTGTTTACATATGCAATGCGTTCTCCTTCACCCTACGTATTGCTGCATATACAGCTCTACCATTCACACGCGGGTATTCTGAGGAAGTGCACCCACACCCAGATGTCCTGGTGAAATGATCCCATATGTAGTGCTAACTAACCTTTGTAGAATTTACTTGTTACCACTATGTTCTGTGTAGGGCTTAAATGTATTCTAGACATAGGTAGGGCATGAAATAAGATTTTTTTAAATTTTCTTTTTCTTTATTTTTAAGTAAAACTTTATTGTTCAGATTATGACAGGTGTTCCTCTTTTTTCCCCCATAGCTTCCCTCCACCCGATTCCCCACCCCACCCCATGCTCTTATCCTCCACTACTGTCTTTGTCCATAGGTGTAAGACTTTTGTCCAATCTCTTCCCACACCCCTCACACCTCCTTCCCCCTGAGAATTGTCAGTCCACTCCCTTTCTATGTCCCTGATTCCATTATATTCACCAGTCCATTCTGTTCTTCAGACTTTTTATTCACTTGATGTTTAGATTCACTTGTTGGTACATATGTATTTGATGTCTTTTTGTTGTTCATAATTTTTATCTTTACCTTTCTCTTCTTCCTCTTCTTAAAGAATATCTTTCAGCATTTTATGTAATCCTGGTTTGGTGGTGATTAACTCTTTTAGCTTTTTCTTGTCTGTGAAGCTCTTTGACTTTCAATTCTGAATGATAGCTTTGCTGGGTAGAGTAATCTTGGTTGTAGGTTCTTGCTTTTCATCACTTTAAATATTTCTTGCTACTCCCTTCTGGCCTTCATAGTTTCTGTTGAGAAATCAGCTGACATTTGTATGTACTCCCTTGTAGGTAACTAACTGTTTTTCTCTTGCTGCTTTCAAGATTCTCTCTTGTCTTTTGCACTTGGCATTTTAATTATGATGTGGCTTGGTGTGGTTCTCTTTGGATTCCTCTTGTTTGGGGTTCTGTGTGCTTCCTGAACTTGTAAGTCTATTTCTTTCACCAGGTAAGGAAAGTTTTCTGTCATTATTTCTTCTAATAGGTTTACAATATTTTACTCTCTCTCTTCTTCTGGCACCCCAAAAATTCAAATGTTGGTATGTTTAAAGTTGTCCCAGAGGTTCCTTACACTATATTTATATTTTTGGATTCTTTTTTATTTTTTATTTTTCTGGTTGGGTATTTTTTGTTCCCTTGTATTTCAGATCTTTGGTTTAATTCTTGGGGTACATTAATCTACAGTTGAATTTCTGTAAATTCTTTATTTCAGACATTGTATTCTTAATTTCTGACTGGTCCTTTTCCTTTTTTTTTTTGCATTCTCATTAATGTTTTTGAAGGTCTCATCAAGTTTCTCAGCAGTTTTTAGAAGATTCTTGAGTAACAAACATTGTGATGGTTTCCTTTTGATAAGGTATTGTGGACCCTTGTCATTAATCTCCTATGTTCCTTCCACAGTGATGAGTCACCAACACCAGCAGCAAATGGCATCCAGTACTCTGAGCCAGCAGAACCACCCTACTCAGAACCCAACAGCAGGGCTTCTGAGTATGCCCAATGCACTGACCACTCAGCAACAGCAGCAGCAGAAACTCCGGCTTCAGAGGATCCAGATGGAGAGAGAGAGGATTCGAATGCGTCAAGAGGAGCTCATGAGGCAGGTATGGTCTTCCAAGGTGCCCAGTGGTGCTTTGTGGCATTTGTTGCCAAAGCTGTTGGCTAGATAGCTGCTAGCCATTAGGGTAAATCTTCCTCTAGAAGCATTAGAGGCCCAATGTCTTGCTCCAGACCTCTCAAATAGAATGAATTTCTTGTCCCAGCCTCTGCCTGCACTATCTGCAGAGCCACTCGAGAGCAGGACTAGCTACACTAACATGGCTGCCTTTGGCTTCTGCTAGCTTTAGAAGGAGAGAAGGAATATGTTCCAATTATCTATTTTTGTGTAACATGTTATCCCAAATTTAATGACCTCTAACAGTAGCCATTTTATGATATTACACACATCTTGGGTCTAGAATTTAGGCAGGGCTTCAGCTGGACTTCTCTTTTGTTCTATGTGATGTTGACTGAGGTCACTGAGTGGTGTTCAGCTAGTGGGCAGGCTAGTCTGGAGGGTCCCAGATGGCATCACTCAAATGTGTGGCACCACAATCAGGATTGCTGGAAGTAAAGCCTGGAGCATCTCTAAGGCATCCCTAATAGGGCTATCTCAGAGTAATGGCACATATTACATAGCAGCTTGGGTCTCCCCAAAAGAATGTTCTAAAAAACAGGAAATAGAACTGGCCAGTGTCTTAAGGCCCTGACTCTGGAACTCAGAGTCACGTCTGCCATGTTCTCTTGGTCAAAGCAGTCACGGATTAGAGCAGGTAACAGAGGATGTTCTGTGGAGGAATGACAAAGAATCTGCAACCATATTTGATCTGCTGTGGAGCATGACAGAGAGGGAAGATTGAGGGAGAATGAGCAAGGAAATGGTTTGCTTGTGGACTCTAGTAAAGTGGTCTACAAAGCTGCCTGGGCATTGATCATTCATTTATTTATTCGATCAGTCAACAGACTGCTGCTGTGTATTCTCTCTAGGACAGGCTCAGGGCTGTATCTCAAAAACTGAATAAGAAGAATTCCTGAAGGAACCCTTGTTTCCCCTGCTTCTGTGGCTTGGCCTATGCAAGAGCAGAAGTCTTCCTTCCGAGCTGCTAAACTAATGCAGCACATGTTTTCTGGTCTCATAAATTTTGCTGGCTACATTTTGGGGAGGAAAGCTTCATTTATTGTTCTAATTCTTCAGACTTTGCTTTATGACTCCCATGAAGCCAGATACATGAGTAGCTTCCTTTCACTGGCTTTTAAGGAACTAAGAAGTTCTAACTGGTTTAGAGAGCTTTCTTGCAGGGAACTGGGGGTATTAGGGTAAACACTATTTTCTCTTTTAGTGACAGTTGATACTTTAAAAAATATACATAATGTATTTCTCATCAAATAATTTGTAATATATAAAGTATCCATGCTACATATGGTTTTAGAAAACTTGGTAAATTAAAATAATTCCTTAGAGCCTTTGAAAATGAGGGAAATGAATACAAATTGTGCTTTTTGTTCATTTGAATTATTTCACTGAACTGTGTAACTGTAGTTGTGCCTTTACTCTGAGGATTTGTGTCTGAACTCATAGTTATTTCAGGTAACAGTTATTTATATTGTTTTGAGATAAACAGTACCATGTTTCTCAGCAGGAAAATAATTACATTATTTTCTGTCTTTGGATAAGAATTCCATTTGGAATAATTTTTCTATTTAATAATGTAGAGTAAATGAAACAATATTATTTTAGGAACATTTGTAAGTTTTCTGTTAGTTTTATATTTAAATGAGCTTAATGGAGTGTTTTCCCTTAGGCAGAGCCACCATACCAAAGGCTTGTTTCTCAGTTTTCGCCTCTTTCTTTGCTTCTCTTTCTCTTGCCCCACCTCCTTCTTTCCCACAGAAAGTATTTCTGAAAAGGGGTGTGGAAAAGTGCCCTAAATTGTTTCCTCTATTCCAGCCCTAAGTGCCTTTGAACCAGAATGTACTATTGATGGTTCCTATTACAGAAATGCCAACCAAGTTCCTTAAATGCTGATCCCTAGAGGCTGTGGCATTTGGTGCATTTTGCTGCCTCATAGCGTGCATTCCATTGTGTGGGACAGGGAAGGAGAGCTGTCTGGATTTGCACAGAGGCTCACACAGTTCAGCGTTAACTGCGCACTTGCATGTGTGTGTATGGGTGAGTGTGTGTGTGTGTGTGTGTGTGTGTGTGTGTGTGTGTGTGTTTAGGAGGAGGAAAGGAGATGGAGTGGATAGTTGATGTCTCATTACTTTTATTATGGAATATAGAAAAAATGGTCTGAAGAGTTTATTTAAAGCCATATAGTAGTTGGTATTGGAGTGGTCTATGATAGTTTTCTGCGGCATTTGTGAAGATGCCTGATTGTTCAGGAGTGGATTATGTCTATCATCTTGGGTGGTTTTTCTACTTTTTTTTTTTTTTGGGGGGGGGGCGGTTTCTGCTTCACTATTTGCACTTAAGCCAGGGAAGAAGGCAGGGATGGGTTGGCAGTAAAAGTGGTATTTGGCTCAGCTGTTAGCTACCTTCCAGCATCTAGTAGAAATGGGGACTTTCCTCTCTTCACTGTGCCCCACTCTCATGTCCTTGGCATTAACAACTGCCTTTATATCCTTGACTCACCAGGGAGTTAGTAACTCCTGTTCTCCCCATGCCTGCAGGATGGCCCTGGTTATACAGCCCATCTTCTCTAGGTCCTTGTCCTATAAGTAGGCCTTTACTGCATGCAGTTCTCTTAAGGGAAGCTTTCTCTGTATTAGGAAGGAAGTTTAGCAAATTTAATAAGTACATGAATTTATTCCCCAATTTCTGGGAAATCATCACACTCCTATATATTTTTATTATTCTTAAATATATGATAGATGTGAAAGCACTTTATAAATTACTAAAGGCCCAGTGCATGAAATTTATGCACAGGGTGGTGGTGGTGGTGGTATACCTCATCCCAGCCTGCACCCTCTCCAGTCTGGGACCCCTCAAGCCTTTGAGGGATGTTTAACTGCCCATTTAGGCTCTGAGATCGGGCTTAAACGGGCAGTCGGACATCCCTCTCACAACCCAGGACTGCTGGCTCCCAACTGCTTGCCTGACTGCCTTCCTGATTCTGCCTGCCAGCCTGATCACTCCTTAACCACTCCCCTGCCAGCCTGATTGATGCCTAACTGCTCCCCTGCTAGCCTGGTTGCCCCCAACTTCCCTCCTCTGAAGGTCTGATCGCCCCCAACTGCCCTCTCCTGCTGGCCTGATAACCCACAACTGACCTCCCTTTCAGGCATGATCACTCCCAACTGCCGTCCCCTGTAGGCCATCTTGTGGTGGCCCTCTTGTGTCCACATGGGGGCAGCCATCTTGTGTGTTTGGGTGACAGTCAACTGGCACATTACTCTTTTATTATATAGGATGTGCTATATAAATGTTTCTTCTTATCTTCTTTCTCTTCTTGCTTCTTCCTTCCATGCCATTCAACCTCTAGGTATAGAGTCTGATGATATTGTGCCATGGAGAAAACCACTCCTCGGTCCTCATTGCACAATCTAATGTACACCTCCCAATTCCAAGTGCTCGGATGTTAACTCATAGTCACTGAAATCATGTCAGGATATTAACAAAGTGGATTTGAGGAAAGTTTAACTTTAGATCTAAAGTGGACCTCCAAACATCATGCTGAGTGAAATAAGCCAATCAATGAAAGAGGAACACCACATGACCCCACTCATTTGTGGATAATAAAGATCATTATAAACTGATGAACCAAAAGATAGATATAGAGTCAGTAAAGCAACAAGCAGATTGTCAGATCACAGAGGGGAGGGGAGGAGGATCTGGGGGAGATAATAGATCAACCGAAGGACTTGTATACATGCATATAAGTACAACCAATGGACATAAAACTCTGGGGAGGGAGGGGATGTGTGGGAGGGAGGGAGGGGGGCAAAAAAAAATCAATAAAATATGTAAAAATAAATAAATAAATAAATAAATGGTAAAAAAATAATAATAATAATTAAAAAAAATAAAGAAAGAAACCCAAAATGGTGCAGACACTCTGGAGAAAAAAAAAAAAAAAGAAAGAAAAAGAAGTGGACGATGAATGCAAACTTCATACCTTCTATGAGAAGCGTTTGGCCACAGAAGTTGCCACCGACGCTCTGGGTGAAGAATGGAAGGGTTATAAAAAAAAAAATAAAAGAAAAAAAAATAAAATAAAGTGAACCTCCATTATTACATAATGGAAAAATATTTTTCCTTCCTTTATTTCATCAATCGTTTATTCAACCAACATTTATATAGTGGAAAATAATAAATGGGACATAGCTGCCCTCAGGTAAGATATATTTTAGTAGAGGAGACAAGATGATTAAATCTAATCATTGGCCAGAGCAGTGGATTCAAACTCCTCTCTCTACTTTATGGAGTCCAGGTGGCTCCCATCTTTGAGTCTTATTACTGGAGCAGAGACCAGACACTGGCAAGCACATAGGTTTATGAACATGAGAGCAGGATGCTTCCTTATTTTCTTCAGTGGCCCATCAGGCCAAGTTATTGAACATCTACAGAATTCGGATCAAAGAGCCAGTGAGGATTACTATCTCCCCCAGCTAGGAACCTTATGAAATGAGACAGTTTCATTAAAAATGTCTTGCTTCTACAATTAAACATTGGCTGCTATAGCAATAGAGTTGAACTACTTGTATCTGATAATTGGTGAATTATCTCGGAATGTGTTAGGTGCTCTGAGTGGAGAGGTGTCACCAGCACCAGGGTGGGGATCCCAGGACACTACTTTTTTAAGAAAGTAGATCTTTCCCTGCTTTCAACAGTCATCTATCACAGACATTGTGCAGAGTGAACTTTTATGAAAGACCTTCTCCACTGGTCCTGATAACGAGAGTTTGATTTTTGCTAAATTTCCCAAAAGGCTATGAAGCAGTTCTGGGCCTATCAGAGTAATGGCAACTTTAGAAAAGAGAGCAATTTCAGTTAAAATTGTACTTCTTGGTATCTCATATTTTTAGAATAAAAACTAGAATTAAGTTTGTGGATTTTTTTATATTC